CTGGACTCTCAAATAGATAGAGATAAACTCCCTAAGAGTTTTATCCTTATCTAGGCTGAGGTCCTCCCCTATCTATGATTCTTATAGCTTATCCGCTTACCTTAGACTCCGATTTCTCCGCAGTTAACCTCGGCCTAGTCGAGATTACCTCGGCGCCATGACCCGGACATGTGGCACCTCGGCTGGAACTTCGGTGCCACTTTGGCCACGTGTTGTTATTCACAAAAATATACCTCCATATATGTATAAACATATTATTTGGTAATATATATATTAGAGTGGCCACACACAATATGTGTACAATTTATAATTAGATATGATAATTATGACAATTGGAGAGAATTGAAAAAATTTGTAGTGGTTATGTAGTTTTAGGGATATTTTTAGAAAATAATTTATGTGACATTGCCATTAACTCCATTCACTTTATATATTTGTATAGTATATCTATCTTAAAGTATAAAAATATTTTAAATTAAATAAATAGGTTAATACTTAATTTTTTTTATTTAAATATAATTTTAAATTTATTTTTATGTAATTATGATATTACGATTTTATTCTAATTGATCCAATTGAACTAATAACTTTTGACTTGATTATTTTTCAATTTGATCAACAATCCAAACAGTAGCAACTTCCCTCACGGCTTCATCATCATTTCCATACCCTGAAGACTTCACCTCTTGAGCCCCGCGAGACCGTTTCATAGGCCTCGAAAAGAAAAGTATATATGTAAAAAATTAATTTGGTCGAACATTATTGATGTATTAATTAATTATGTTTTGTTTTATAAAATTAATGGTAAATATAATTTTAAGTTTTAATCGTTTATTTTATAAAACAAAATGCGATAAATTAGTATCTCTATAAATATCCGATCAAGCTTATTATATATAAGAGGAGGCTCTTTTCTAATTGAATAATTTAATTAGACGGCATCGTTGGCTCACCTTGGTCCCATAACGGGATTCATTTCGATGATCCAAATCGTCATCTTGCAATGTCTTTCAAGAATATTTTTCATGCAAAAAATTATGTTGACCGAATAATCATAATTATATGATCAAATCAAATTTATTTTAATAATTTACTCTAAAAATTGTAATTGTTGTCTAAGATAAATCACAGTCCATAAATGCACGTTTATTTTATTTTATCTATTTTGTTCATAATGACAAGCTCTCGCAAAATGACCAAACTACTTATATATACATATGAACGGAACCTAACTCCCTCTCTCTCTCTCTTTTTTTTTGCAATCGACTCTCTTCTTTCTCTCTCTTAATTCTCATGCGATCGTCATCGTCGCCTCATTGTTGTCCTCCACTTCTTCACTTTCTCCGGTCACCGCTGCAACTGTTGTTGATTGCCTCCTCTATGGCTTCGGTGACACCACCGTACGTAGCGCAACTCAGCATCAATTAACGATCTCTCTCTTTTACTCTTCTCTCTTTGTGATGATGATGATGATGATGATGACGACTCAGATCCGGCTCTCCTCCGCATTATCGGACTCTGTCGCCTCAAATCTAGAATCGCCACAGCTCCGGTGGACCTTTATTCGCAAGTTCGCTTCGGCTTTACCTCACAAGCGAACCCCTCTCAGTTGGCCCAAGATCTCAGTGGATCAGTCAGCAATCCTTCAATCAACGGCCTGGATCTTCCTGCCGATTTGCCTCTTTCTCCTTGTGTCTCCGTCGTCCGTGTCGGATCTTACTGCAACGAACTCGTCAAAACCACCATGAGTTTGATATATATACACGCATAAATGCATCAATGAGCTGAGTTTATTTGAATTTATTTTATCTGTTTATTATTTTTTGTGTTTTAATTATTGAAAGTTGTGAAAGTCACTGATTGATCATATGTCTACTCGAATTTCTTGTGAATTTTTTAGAAGAGAATATCTTCATGTTTGCAAAGAAAGGCATGACTCCATCGCAAATCAGAGCATTTTCCGTGACTCTTATGGTATTGCTCCGGTCAAGAAATCGCAAACAAAGAGATGTTAAGAGAGAGAGAGGTGTTGATCGAATGCCTCTGAAGCTAGAGATCAGTCTTAATTCCCAACCAAAATCCTAACCCAAATTCATCCTCCAATTTGAACAAAATTGTGTTATTGACAGATCTATTAAAAAATGGTTCAAATCTGTTCAAATGGATGAATATTTGTTTATTATTATTATTATTATTATTTTTTGATCTCAGATCTGAATAATTGTTGTTGTTGTAGTTGTTTTTTTTTTCTTTTATATTTTTATCTTGGTGGTGGTTGTTGTTATTGTATATGTTTAAATTTGTTTTTGTTGTGAAGAAAATGATATTGAATAGATCACAAACACATATCTGTTTGAATTGAACAGAGTTTTTTTAATTTGGTCATGTGTTCTTCAATCAGTGAACAGATAATTTTTTTTTTGTTGCCAATTTGAATTTTATTTGTCTAGATAGTGGGAAGAGAGAGAGAATTTGAACAACTAGATTTGCAATAGATAGATTTTTTTTAACAAATAATTTTAACAGGTAGATTTTTAAAAAAGATAATTTGAACAGATAGAATTTCAATAGATAGATTTTTTAAGTAGCTAATTTCAATAGATAATAAAATTTGAACAAATATCTAAACAGATAAGGGGAAAAATTAAATAAATAGTTAAAAAATTAAATAGATAAAAAAATATTTAAAAAGATAAAAAGTAATTTGAATAGATAGATACAAATTTGAACAAATAGTCAAAAAATTTAATCAAGTAAAAAATTGTCAACAGATAAATTAAGGGTAAAATTGGAAACAAAACAAACAAAAGTCCTTCTCACTAAATTATTTTACAAAGGGTGGATCTCTCATGAATAAAAAATATTCACTAAACCTAATGCTTTATACTCTCATTAGGTTGGAATTTTTAAAATTTTTCTCTATTTATATTTATTTATAGAGTAATGTTAGGAATCTCAAACAATCTACTGAATCTCTCATATAGGTGTAGGACCTACATATATGTGGATTTGTGTGTAGCATGACCAATGTGAGAGGTTTGATAAAACATTTGGTAGATTATTTGAAATTTTTAACATTATTCTTATTTATAACCAGACTTAATTTTAAAGGATAAATTAAAAATATAATTAAATTATTTAATGATGTTAGCATTTTCTATTATTTTTTTACAATAAAGTAACATAAAGAATCCATAATAAAAAACTAAAGCTGAAGGAAAGTTTTTATAATTTCATTAAATCTCATGAGAGAGATGAGTGTAATTAAAAATTAAAGATAAATTATCAATAAGTCCTAATAGTTAGACTTAATTCTCATCAAGTCTTATTAAAAATAAGTCTTAGTAAAATTATCGCTAAAAATAATTTTTTTGTGACAATTTTTTTATATATGTCGCTAAAAATTGACAATTAGTGATTTTTTTTTGTCATAATTTTTATAAATTGATGCTAAAACTTATAATTAGTGACTTTTTTATGACAATTTTTTTATAAGACCTATTAAATAATGAATTCACTTATTAAGACCTACACGTATGTACTCCAAAATTAAACCTCAAAGGAAATTTTTGTCAATTAAAAAAACTTTAGAGGATGTTTCTACATTTCTTTAATCTCATGGAGATTAGTGCAACTGAAAACTAAACTTTGAGGCAAGTTTTAAACCATTTCAAAAATGAAGGAAGAATCTATAATTTCCCTAAATCTAAAGGGATTCAAAATCAAAGGGATTCAAAATCAATTTATGCAAACGAGTAATGTTAGAAAATTTTGAAAATTCTATTAAAATTTTTATCAAATGTTTTATATGGGTATAAAATTTACACAATATAAATCTCATGTAAATTTTATGCTCATATAAGATATTTGATAAAAAATTTAATAAATTTTTTAACTTTTTAAATATTTTTACACAAAATGTAACGCAAGTTCCAATCTAATTAAGATCAATAATTCATCTATGGGATCCAAAATCAATTTATGCAAAAACATAAAAATGTATAGCAAATTCCAATCAAATTAAGTTTAATAATTCATCTATGAAATTTATTCAGTCTTAATATTGTCTTAATAATACTCTTTGGATTCGTTTGGGATGTAAGTTAGTTTTTTGACTTTTTGATTATTTTAACCTGGAACTAAAAAGTCTCGTTTGTAATAGACTTTTAGTTTTTTTGTCTTTTGTGAAAGAAAAAATGAAATGATTATGAATTGAATGTGATATTTTATTTTACAGGGCTAAAAAACCTATTTTATCTTTTTATAACTAAAATTAAATAAATTTAGATTTCGTTTGGCAATATCACTTTTAACTTAAAAGTTAAAAAGTTATTAAAAAAAACAAAAAAAAAACTAATAATCTATATTAAAAAGTAAAAAAAAATTTCCCTTTACTTTTTTGTTTATCTTTTCATAAAAAATCAAAAATTTATTTCAAATATATTAGTTTTTTACATTATATTTTAATTAAAAAGTAAAAAAATTAATAAAAAAACCTGTTTCCAAATAAGACCTAGACTAAATAAATTGGATGGTGGTAGACACAGAAAAATTAAAAAGATAAAAATTTATAAATTTTAAATTATTTATTAAATAAATAATTGTAAGATGTAGAGTTCATAAAATTACTAATACCTATGTAAGTTATTTAATTATTTATTTAATAGAGAATTTATATTCGCAATATTATCCAAAGCGTAGCGTAAGAAAATAAAAGGGCAAATTACATATACACCGCTCGAGGTTTGGCTAAATTACAGATGTCCCTGAGGTTTGAGAAATTACGAATTCCCCCCTGAATGCTATATTTGCATAAGAAATTAGGGGGTAATTTGTTATGAAATATAAACCTCAGGGGCAAATTGTTATGAAAATACAAATCTCAGGGGACGGGATGTAATTTCTGAAATCTCAAGAATATCTGTAATTTAGCCAAACTTCGAGGGGTGTATATGTAATTTGCCCAAAATAAAAACTGACGCAGTCCTTTTATCTGACTTTGGTTTTTCCCAACCGTGCCTGGCAGAACATTTATGACTTTTTGACCACTTTTGTTTTCTTTTATTCTCTCTCTCTCTCTCCTGTCTCTTTCCCAACATGTCATAGTGCTCTCTCTCTCTCTCCATCGCTTCCTCCGAAGACTTCAATTTCTCTCTGTAAGTTCGTCTCCGATCTTCTCTCCTCTCTCCCCCGCCTAATCTCATTTATCTCAAATCATTCATACAATACATACATATATAATTATGTAAATTTGTTGTGTATGATAAATGCGAGATTTTTTTTTTAATGTAATTGAAGTTTGAATTTGGTGAGCTATTGATTTGTACAAACTGCTTTTGCTTGTAATAGTCAGTTACTGTTGTTACTGTTTATTCACCATGAGATGGGATGATCTGGGTTTTTGTAGATTCTAAGAGGGGTTTAATTTGATCATGAGAGAGAGTCAATGGATCTATTTTAGGCTTTTTATTGTTACCTTTGTGAGATGTTAGATTGCAACCTAAAGTGTTGATTTTAATGCTTGTAACAATGGTTGCATCTTCTAATCATTAAAGTCCACTGATGTGGAGAAGAACATAGTCATCAAATAAATGGACAGTTTAAAATCAAGAAAGGTAATGAATTTTGTGAGAAACACATACATATGCACAAGAAAGGTAATGAAATCTTCATGCTTTTTGATTTTTTTTTTTTAAATAAAAATATTCCAACAATAGCTTAGCCAACTATGTATTCTCTGAGAATAATTCTACAGATACTAACAATTTACTAAAAATACAAGAGGCCAAAGTGGTTGGTTGTCAAAAAAGCAATGATATTTGGACATTAATATTTTTAGTAGAAGTTTTAGTACATGTAGCATTACTCATTTTCCAAAGTCAAATGTCTATGTGCTATTTGTGTTTTGGTATGTGAGCATCTCATTACCAAAATAAAAATTAAAAAAAATCAAATGGCCATTTATAGAGTCGAGTGGAGAGAAAAATTCATGTAGCCAACTCCATTTGATGAGACTTAATAAAAACCCTTAAGGACAAAACTCGCAAGGCAAAGCCTCTTAGCTCCATGACATAACTACAAAGTCCATGTATACCTAGACTCTATAAAATAAACTCTCACAACCCGAGAGCCCAGGTCAATAAATAGTTGACCTAACAACTTGAGACGTCAAGTGAAACTAGGTTATCATGAGCATTACTATGAATTTTTTATTATACTTCCTCATATCGGTATTCAATATTAGCAGCACTAGAAGGATTCTTCCCTCGAGCCTCTTCAAGTCATGGATTTTCTCTTAGTTTTATTTGTTGTCTTTTCTAGAGGCGACTTTGTCTTCACATTCAAACATTGCTAGGAAAGAATGAAGAATTCCAAACATATAAGTGTTCATACTTCGGGGGCACGTTGGTCATGCCCTCTTCAAGAACAATATTCTTTCCGGTATTCCTAGTTGTTGAAACATCCACCCATTCGCTTCCTATTCACCTTTTCCTTTGGCCTCCATTCTTGCTTGATTGTACTAGGAAGATCTGAAGAGGAAGGGCAAATATTTTGAGAGTGCCCATATAATTTGCAAGTTACACACCTCTTAGGCTCCATGAAGTTTCTACCCTAATCTTGTAGGGGTCATCATAGCCTTGATCAAGCTTCAAAGATTTGGAAATATCATAGGTTATGAAGCACGGGTACTCCAAAAATAGTGCCGTACGAGTACCGGGGTACTTACCGGGTGCGGGCACGCGTACCGGGTACGGCAAAAGAGGGTCCGGTACATTTGGTTCATTTGGGTACGGCATGGGTACGCCACGGGTATGGCGTGGGTATGAAAGGGCCTTTTTTTTTTTCTTTTTTTTTTTCCCTTGCCCTTGCAGATCAGCAATTATTATTATTATTTTTTATTTTTTTTTGGTGCCCTTGCAGATCAGTAATTTTGATATTTCTCTGCTGTCCTGTCTGTATAAATTGCATAAGCATATCAGCAAATGATTTTGATGTTTTTAAAAAGCAATTTGAACCAAAAAAAATAACAAGGCCCATAAAGGATAGTTCTGTGTATAACTATGCATTATGCTTTTGCTTCAGATCCTCCTAGAATTTCTTTATAAAATCTTTAATCATAACAAACTTTTAAAGTTTATGCACAAAACATTAAAAATTGATACTGTATTAGTTGATTAGTAGTGGTTGGAAATGATGCAATTTTATGTATTATGCAAATTGCAATTGACAACCGGTCCCAATTGAGAATTTTTTTCCCTTTACTGTTGGCGATTAACTTTAAATCTTTCTTTGGTCTCCTGTTATTTCTTTGGTCTCACTCTATAAAAATAGCAAATTGATGAGCAAAAAGAAAGATTTTAAAAATAAATTATGATCACAAATTCACAGTGTATGTTAAAGTGAGAGATTTCACAAATATTATTTTTAATGCTTAATAGTTTTAAATTATAGGAAAATGAGTAGTTCTTTTTTTAATTGCCATATATAATTTTAATTTGTAGGCTGGATCCTTTGATCATAATTATATTTATAAAAAAAAAAAAAATATCGGCGTACCGCAGCCGTACCCGGATCATACTTTTTTTGAGTTTTGCCGAATCGGCGTACCCGCACTCATACCTGTACCGTACTCGTACCCGCACCCGTGCTTCCTTGATCATAGGAGGCTTGAATTTCGACATAGATACAAGCAAAAGAAAGCTTTTTTTTTGTTTTAGTATCCAAATCCAAATATAAAGGCTTTCCAATAGTGCTAGCCACAAAGCTCAATTCTTCCATTGTCCATAATTCTAATGGCATGTTTTACAAACTAACCCAAAGGGGGACACTAGAGAATTCTTTCTTTTGTAAGTGTACCCCCCGGGTACCACCTCTTAATGATGAGAAGTTTTCCTCCGGAGTGGTATGGGCCATTGTTATATAATGTGTATTTAGTTTATTGTTTTTAATTCAACGATGAGACCGTTCATCTCTTTGCAATGCATACTAAATAGTGAAACTCAAAGTACTCCATTTAATGTAGAAGTAACTTGCAACTCCCTTTTTCAACCTGCAAATTGCAGTTGTTGGGTCATATCAACACAATTAGAGTAGCGAAGTATACATCCTTCCTGTACTCCAGTTTTGAATCAGCGTGAAATTTTGTTTTTGTCTGATAAATTATTTTGTTGATGTGGATTATATGTTAACCCTTTTTTCTCATTGTGAACAACTTTCTGATGGTTTATCAGTTCAAAACATGAGCTTAGCTTCCTGTCCAGAAACTACACAAGCAACATAGTCTATAGAAGCCTAAATTCCAGCCTTGAAGTAAAAGAAGAAAAGGCAAAAAGAAGTCTAGTTTTTTTGGCCATAAAGTTGATGACATCTGAGCGTCATTTAAATTTTTCAGTAACTTACCCTTTTTCGCTGGATGCAGCTAGTATTTATGTAATTGTTTGTGCAAAATGTTCGATTGTGGTTTGAAGTCACAATACATGGGTGGCCAGCAAGAGAAATTTGTAAGGTACCATATATTTGTTCCTTCTAGCTTTTCTATACAATACAAGTTTATTCTTTTATTTGATTTTCTAGTGAGCGATTTTTCACAAAAGGCCTCTAGATTCAAAATTGCATCTGTATTTGGTTCCTTGGGCCGAATTTGTACGTGTTTCATTGACTTCTTGTAGCTGCTCTTAAGTAGTTAATTATTCAAGAAGGATAAGGATTCTGGATTCAAACATGAAATGCTTCTACGGTTTTCATTTATCTGAGTTATGCAATTTTAGAATTGCATTGAGTTATCTAAATAGGTCTCACCACTCATAAGGAGGCAGTATGGGTGCTAAAGATCAATGATTAAGGAAAAGGGAGAAAATTCAAATCTTTTGCTTTTTCTCTAATATATGGTACTATTGCTTCTTTTCTAAAATCTTTCACCCAAGGGTCATTATATGTATCAAAAAACAGAACTATTTCCTATGAAATTTCGTACTCCATGGTGCCTACAAAATTCAAAAGAACCTCTAGCAAGGGTCAGCTCTCTCCAACTCTTTAAGTTTATTATGATCATGGAAAAATACTCTTCATACAGTATAAAGATCTCTTAAAGTCCCCAACGCTGTTTGGTGGGGTGGCATAGTATACAGTGTGGTAGATAGATATAATAGTTTGACTTTGTCATGCATTCAAGAGTGCCTTAGCTTCCTTGGTAGATATTGGGAGGCAAGGGGGGTGCATCGTCGAATCTTCTCCTCTTTTCTTGGTCATCATTGACTTGGTTGGGGTACCCCTCGTTTGCGTATTCACCCACAATATGAATTTCAGGTATCTTCGGGAAATATGTTGGTTTTGGGCAGAGGATATGAATGGATGCTCACATGGGCTTGCTATTTTGTTTATTTATTTCACTTATCATTAACTGTAATGGTGTCTCACCATTCACAGCCATTAAAATGCTGGTAAATGAATATTTGCTAGAAAATTGGCAAGACTTCATTCAGTGACTGGAGATTTGTGGAAAAATTTTTTTTTGCTCTATTTCAATACTTCTTTCTTAAGTAGAGGCACCACAATTTACATATTTTCACGTGAAAATTTTCATTTCCTCTCTTGCTACTGATGAAAACATCAAGGGTTGTTGATTCCTAACTGCATGTGTTCTTTTTTGAGTGCTTCAGGAAATGGCATCTAATATTCTGTATATTGGTTTTGTTTTTAGGTTGGATGACTTGGACTCTAGATTATCTTCTCCTTCTGCTTCAGTCGGAATGAACAAATGTGGATTTGGCATCGAGGATTTAACACGCAAAAGGCATGCAGCTAATACCCCATCAAAGTCTTTTAAGATAGGAATGAGAAAAGGATCTGAGGGACTTAAGTCCATTGGTCGATCACTTAAATTTGGGGTTTCTCGGGCGGTGTTTCCAGAAGATCTTAAAGTGTCAGAGAAGAAGATATTTGATCCTCAAGATAAATTTCTTCAGTGGTGGAATAAACTGTTTGTTGTATCATGTATTCTGGCAGTATCTGTGGATCCTCTGTTTTTTTATCTTCCAGTTTTCAGTCAGTCATCTGAGTCAGACTGTCTGGATATAGATCGAAAGTTAGCAATCATAGCTACAACACTCCGAACAATAATTGATGTTTTCTACCTTATTCACATGGCACTACAATTCAGAACAGCTTACATTGCCCCATCATCTCGGGTTTTTGGACGAGGTGAACTTGTGATAGATCCTCGGCAAATAGCTAAGCGATATCTACGGTGCTATTTTATAATCGATTTTCTTGCAATTCTTCCCCTACCACAGGTCTGGAGTTCTCTTTAATTTTTTGTATCATTTTTTAAAAATCCTTTTCCCTTTCAGGCTACATGATTTCCCTGTTCAATGCTTTTCAAATAATTAGTTAGTTTTAATGCGTGGTTATTTCAGTAATGGGCATCTTTAATCTTACTAAAAGAAATATGAAACTCTCTTCTTGAGGATAATAGTCACGTCAAATTCAATTTCACTGCAAATTTGACTTTGGTGAAGTGAAAATGCTTGAGGATACTTACGGAAACAGACATCAATATTCATAGATAAAGCATATCCTGTTGTCATTTGATTAGGAACAGTTGGGTTAAATTCAACTTCACTGAAAATATGAGACTATGGTGATGTCAAAAGGCTGCATTAAATTTAGCTACATTGGTGTCTTACATATAACTAGCAGGTTTTCTATGTGTAAGGATTTGTCAGGACTAGTTTATCATTATTTTTCAATTTGTGCAGATTGTAGTCTGGAGTTTTCTGCAGAGATCAAAAGGTTCAGATGTACTGGCTACGAAACAAGCCTTGCTTTTTATTATCTTGCTTCAGTATATTCCTCGATTTGTCCGCATCCTACCTCTGACTTCTGAACTGAAAAGGACGTCGGGTGTCTTTGCTGAAACTGCATGGGCTGGTGCTGTATACTATTTGCTTTTATACATGCTTGCTAGTCATGTAAGCAACTCTTCAAGTCAGGATGCCTTATTTCATTGTTAGCTATTTTTTCCACTCATGCTTTCAATAAATGACATCAAAAATCAAAAGAATATGGTTTGGAGATGTTTCATTATTATTATTTTTTTTTACTTCTCAGAAAAATAAATAATTGAAATATCTCCAAAATATATTCATTTCTGATTAGGTTCATAAGTATCCATTTGAAGCATGAATATTCTCAATTTTTCTGGAACTCTGCTATTAAATTTGTTGGAAGCATGAATTTTGTCTTAGTGACAACCCCTGATGAGAGGCCACGGCCACAGTTATTTGAACACTGCATTGTCTTTCCTTCTGTTTACTTGTATCAACAATAAACACAAATGTAGTACTACAGTGTTATTTTAGAGAGACTATATAATGACTCTCTCTTAATTGAAGAGGAGACCAGATGGAGATCTTTCACTTTCACACTGCACAGTTTTCAGTTACCCAGGAAAGAGGCTTCTATCATAAGCCTCCACAAATTCTACCACCTTGGTTGGTGGGTTTGGGTTGAGGTTTCCAATTATAATCCTCAATTCTACTTGAAATGGGACCCATGAGTGATAGTAGGACATTGTTCATGCATAAAGTCTAAGCTTCAACCAACCTTTATCTTGTATTTAGAGCACAACTGCAGCCTTGTATGGCTGTGGTGGCATTCACTTATTGATTAGTTATGTCTTAGCGCAAAATATTTAGTTGATTGTGGAAATATGTGTCATAATTATTAGAAGCAAGTTGTCAATTGATCGTCGCTATGCCAATTTGTAAGTTAGCCAATTCAGCTATAGCCTATAGGTTGATTCGGTTGATCCATTCCGTTCATAAAATTTTGTATACCTACTATTGCACTATGTAGCATAGACACAAACACGGGGCATGGATACGACATGACATGGACATGTTGACACGACAAATTTAAAAAAATGGACATGGTTAGGACATGCCACAAAATTAATTAAATTTTGTATCTAATTTTCTTACCTAAATCAATAGTTAAAATTAGACAAACTAGCGAACATATGTAATTGCAACATCTCCCTCATCCTTTTAAAGCCATCTGCTTATACATTTTTTATTTTTTAAGAAGTATACATTACATATTCTTAAGAATTATACTTTTTTAAGGATATAAGATATATATATATATATATATGTCAAATTCTCAAACTTTGGAAATCACACATTAGCAAAAATCCAAAAAGTGTTGGTCTCATGTTTATGTTTTAGTAATAGACATGGCAAAGTGACGGACACATTGCAAAATGAGGGTCGGACACATGTTCGCAATGAAGATTTTTATTTGTAATTGTGGACACAAAAACAAGAGTATTAGACACTTGTCCGAGAATGCTTTATGAGCTTGGATAGTCTGATTTGTAACATCGTTTGATTGTTTACTAATTCACATCTACAGGAATAGGAACAATTTTTTTTTTTTGATCAGCAACAAAAGAATAATTTTATTAAAATGGAGAAAAAAGAGATACAAAGGAGGACAAGAAGTCCTCCATAGTGAAAACAAAAAAAATCTACAAATCGCATACGTACTTCCAAGCGCTAGAAATCTAAAAAAGTAGAATTGCCTTAAATGGGGGAGCAACTAATGCCCAAAAAGATGTAAGAAATCTGATTTTCTCCCACATCAAAGTTACGTCAGCATTTTTGTCCTCGAAGATCCTTGCATTCCTTTCCAACCATATAACTCAAAAAAGAGCGAAAATTGCACAAAGCCTCAACACCTTTGCTAATTTATTTAGGCCTAAGAATCAAAAGTCAATAGAGAGCATTGAACTACATGATTCAGGAGCCACCCAAGCAAAGCCACCCCAAGCAAAAAACTGCTGCTACAAACCTTTTGCCACTAAACAGTGCAAAAAAAGATTCAAACTCTCCCCCTCTCCTTTACACATAATGCACCATTGAGGAGAAAGTTGGCAATTAGGCCTCCTCTTTTGAAGGAACTCATTGGCCAAAATGCTTCCATGAACCTTAGTTGCAGGAATCGTGCAACTAGGTGACGAATCTTCGTAAGAAACGCGATTCTACGTTTCTTAGAAAGAATAGTGTAAGAATCGTGCGATCCTATCCAAGATGGGATCGTTGGTGGCTATGAACAAAAACCCTAGCCTATTGGTCGACAAAGAGAGAGGAGAAAGAAGGTGAAGAAGAACTTGAACATGTTGAAGCTCAAGAGGGTGAAGTTGAAGTCCTAGATCGAGGTATGTCCTTCTTTGCTTCGTTTTTCTTCTGCTTTCATCACTTCGAAAGTCCTCTCTCTCTCACTCTGTGCGCGTTTCGTCTCTCTGTCGCAATTCGTCTCTCTGTCGCAATTCGTCTCTCTCTCTCTCTCTCTCTCTCTCGCAGATCGTCTCTCTGTCTCTGTTTTTCGTCGTCTCCCCCTCTGCTTTTCCCTCTCTGTTCTTGCTGATCATCTCCTTTGCCTTCTCTCTCTCTCTCTCTCTCGCTCTCTCTCTCTCTCTTTGTGGCCTTCTCACGATATATATAAGTAATATATATATATATATATATACAATAAAACATATATAATCTTTATATAAATATATATATATGAGTATATATTATACATATTAATAAAAAAAACACAAACACATATATGTAAAATATAATAAATAAATAAAATAATTAGTGTGTATTAAATAAAAATATTTATAAAAAAACTTCTAATGCGTATTAAAATATATATATATATATATATATTACCGCCCCGAGACGCTCCCAACCTAAGAAACTTCTATCGGCTCACGATTCCTCGCTCCCGTTCCTGATCCCACCCGCGCTCCTGCTTCGTGCAACTAAGCCATGAACCAAAAACCATATTAAAAAAAAACTTCACTTTGAGAGGTGCAAAAGACTTCCAGTTTCTTTTGTGAAGGAACAAAAATGGAATATTTGGCTTTTCAGTGATTTTTTCAAAGGACTTACAAGAAAATACACCGGTAGTATGCAAAAGCCAAACCAATGACAAATGATCAATGTGAGACAACAAGGCTAAATCATCAGCCACTTTGTTAGTAAGATTTCTAACAAAGCTAAGATTCCATGCAATTGTAGCCAAACTAGAGCATGCCAACAACGCAATGGAGGAACCGTGGAAGTTTGCAAACCTATAAAGACCTGAGAAATCACTAGCAAAAGAAGAATTTTCAACTCAAATATCCTCCCAAAACCGAATTGACTCCCCATGTTCCACCCTTAAAGATAGAAATCTAGAGAAAAGAAGGTAGACATGAGATATCGACTTTCAAGGAGAACGACAATTACCCTTCAAAACCACATTGACCTACCATCAGTACGAACCCCATACTTGCTCTTAATAATAGAATGCCATAATGAGTCACTCTCTAGACGGAATCTCCATAGCCATTTTCCGAGAAGGGCTAGATTTCTAACTACAATGTTCCCTAAGGCAAGCCCCCTTTTATCCTTAGATAACGAGATTGTCTCCCATATCACCAAATGCATCTTTTTTCCCTCATCCTTTCCTTTCCATTCCATAAAAAACCTCTCATTGGGCTCTCAATAGATTTAGCAATACTAACCGGTACCTTGAAAAGGGACAAAAAATAAACGGGAATACCTCTTAAAATAGATGGGATCAACGTGTACCTTCCTTCCTTTGAAAGCAAAGCTATTTTCTAACCCTCCAACCTCTTGCCTAACTTATCCACCACTGCTACAATGTTCCCTAATGCAAGCTCCCTTTTATCCTTAGATAACGAGGCTGTCTCCCATCTCACCAAATGCATCTTTCTCCCTCATCCTTTCCTTTCCATAAAAAATCCCTCATTAGGCTCTCAATAGTTTTAGCAATCCTAACCAGTACCTTTAAAAGGGACAAAAAATAAATGGGAATACTGCTTGAAATAGATGGGATCAACATGTACCTTCCTTCCTTTGAAAGCAAAGCTCTTTTCTAACCCTCCAACCTCTTGCGTAACTTATTCACCACCGGTGCTCAAAAAGATTCACTTCTAGGATTATACCCGAGAGGTAGCCCTAAATATTTCATGGGTAATTTCTCAGTGGAACACTCTAGGAGTTTTGCCAAACCTTGAATGTTGCTTTGTTGCAAGTTAATGCCCACAATACTACTCTTGCTCAAATTTACTTTAAGACCCAAGACCATCTAAAAAATCCTTAAAAGTAATAAAATGCACCTCACCCTACTCTTCTCCTTTAATGAAAAAAAATATGGTGTCATATACAAATTGATAGGGCCGCGTGGAGAAGAAGAATTTATGTAGCCGACCCCATTTGACGGGACTTAAGGTTTGGTTTGGTTTGGTTTGGTTATGCAAATTGAAGGTGGGAAATACATACTCTATCTCTCCCAGCCACAAATCCATCTACGAGATCTAACTCTCTTGCCCTATCAACCAATCTACCCAAAACATCCGCTAGCAGGATAAAAAGGAAAGGGGACCATGGATTGCCTTGCCTTAGACCCCTTGTGGCCTTGAAGAATTTCCCTCTTTCCCATTAACTATGATTGACATATTGCATGTTGACAAACAGCCCCAAATCCATCTCCTTCACCTCTCTCCAAAGCCCTTTCTAGACATTATAAAATCCAAAAAGCGCCAATCCACATGTTTATAAGCTTTTTTAAAGTCAGCCTTAAAAACAATACCTTCCTTCTTCAAAACTCTATACTCCTCTGCTGCTTCATTTGCTACCAAAACTACATCCAAAATCTAACAACCCCTTACAAAAGCTCCTTACACCGTAGAAATGGTCTTTGCCAAAGTCATTCCAAGTCTCTTTCATAAAATCTTTCCCCAAATCTTGTAGAGTGACGAAACAAGGCTTATGGGTCTGAAATCACTTATCTTAATTGAAAACTCTTTTTTGGGAATCAAACATATAAATGATGCATTTGTGCTCAAATTAAAAATCCTCTTTCATGAAATTCTGCAAAGACTCTCACCAGATTACCTTTCACCACCTCCCAACAATCTTGAAAAAGCGCCATAGAAAAACTATCTAGCCCTAGAGCTTTATCTCTTTCACAGTTAAAAACTGCTTCTTTAATTTCCTCCTCAAAAGGCCTTTCCACCCACCTAGCTAATGCCTCATCAATCAGCGTCCATTCAAGGCCCTCAATCCCAGGTTTGGCTGTGGCATAATGATCCTGTCAATAGTTAGTTACAAAATTTTCGTGTTATGTGAAGTCTTTCAATTATTAGGTGGTGCTGATGAACACGTGCTATTCATGTCATAAATGTCATACTTGTCATATGTTTTTTTTTTGGCAAAATTGTGAATGCTGATTGTTTAGTTATACCCCCTGTTATTTATAAAAGTATTTTCTTAGTTTTGACATATTTTTTTTACTTCACAAAGTTCATTATCTTTTCCCCTTCTTTTCATTCATGTTGATTATATTTCCAAGTTCACTTAAACATTTAGAGGTCTAAAGATTGTCTACAGCATTTTCTGGTGTTGTTATTGTCCGATTTCTTGAATATATATATATATGTATTAATGTGACACAAATTCCAGCCGTTGTTGGGAGAGCAACTTTAGAAAGGCACCAACTTTGTATAGCACCTTTAAGCTAAAGTTTGTGAATGAGATGGCCATAATTATCAACATATTTTTGTCTTCACACCCACACAGGATGGGTTCTTTCATCTGACGATTCTGGTGGTATTTGGATAGCTTTTCTGGGTGCTCTTTTAGATAGGAGTCAAAAGTTGCCATGAGTTTATCAATAACTCCCCAGATTCGATATCATCTCCTTCTCTGGGACATTCCTGTAAAGACAATATATACTGTTATAACTCTGTGCTCTTTCACTGCTTTAATCGTTGCATTGTTTCTCCAAATTATTTTATTTATCATTTCTCATATCTTTAGTTATTCTGCAATAAAACTGATGCACATTTCTTTTTATTGGATGGAACTTTTGCAGATAGTTGGGTCATTCTGGTACTTATTATCCGTAGAACGTAATGATACATGCTTGCAGAGGGCTTGCAAAAATAATACTACATGCAATGTGAATTTTTTGTATTGTGGCAACCAGTACATGGAAGGTTACCGTGCCTGGCAGAACATCAGTGATTCAGTTCTTGGTCCTGCTTGCACTGTAGATGGTGATTCACCACCATTTGATTTTGGAATCTTCAAACAGGCCTTGTCATCTGGCATTGTCTCATCCAGGAATTTCCTTTCTAAATACTGTTACTGTCTGTGGTGGGGACTGCAGAATTTGAGGTGATTTAACTTGACAGATTTTATCACTTGACTAATTAAAAAATAAATTTTATTTTTTTTCTTCCCCTTGTCTGCATCCTGCAATAATTAGATCTGATTATGTCTAACATGTTTGAATCTCTAAGAATCACCGTTTAGTTACCTTTTCTTTTGTTTTCTACAGTACACTTGGCCAGGGACTTCAAACCAGCACTTATCCTGGAGAGTCTATATTCTCCATAGCACTGGCCATATTTGGGCTCATCCTCTTTGCTTTATTGATTGGCAACATGCAGGTAAAATCAGAACTTCCATGTTTCTCCCTGGTGGCTATGTATTTGTTAAACCAAAGTGTTTTCTTTCTTCATTCATACACGTTTTTCACTGATTACAGTAAATCATTTTCCCTTTTTCGTTTCAAAATTAATACCTGGAATTTAATCGAGGTAATCCAGTACATGAGAAACTTATAGTAGCACCATGCCTTGTTCGACTTTTTGAGGATAACCTTTGGCCGAACTTATCTGCCAGTGGTATTTTTCAAAATTCAGAAGTTATGTATCTTTCAGGTAAAAATTACTTTCAGAATCTTTATTGTTTATCCCAACTGTTCTTCTGATCCATACAAATGAGCATGGACCAACAGATGGAGCGGGGATCAACAAATTCATCAATTAAAGATGATTCAAAAGCACTATGCTTAATGCAGAAGTAGCCCTCCACATTTAAAATGCAATTTGGACAAAGCTCAGAGTTAGAGATCATTATATTGGAATGGGGCACCTGTAGTTAGAAGTTTTGTCTAAGACTGGGTCAGGTGAAGTGGACTGCAAAATTTGGACTTAATCTTGCAAGGTTTGGTCATTTATTATTAGAATATTCGGGGTGTAAAGAGCTTCCATGGTAAGACCAGTAGATTTAGAATACATGGAGTATTAGATCAAAGAACCAAGGGGATGACCTCATGGGAAATATTTGCTTGTTCTGGTCAGTGTGGAAGGCTGGGGTTAGAGGCATTTGTTCTTAGTTTTGCTTAATAATTGGAGTAGAAATGGGAATGTGTTGTTTCTAGGAGTCCAATCAGTTGTAAGTCTAGTGGTTTGTTTTATCTTATGAATATAAAAGGAGTTGGAGGAATTATTTTTGTTGCTATTGAATTTCAAGGCATTGCTATACCACAAATAACTTTTTGAAATGGAGAGATCCTTCCATCATTTCCTAGAGCAAAGACTGGATGAGGTTCCTTCATTTTCAAAGATCTACAATCTCCATAGGCTATCTATTTTCCTGATGGCACGATAATGGAAGTATCACCATTGCATCAAACTGCTGCTTTAGAAGTTTCCATATCCATGAACCTATCAAAAGTCAATGTGAAGGCGATCATATATTCCTATTATAGTTACAGGATTCTGGAAGAATTGGATGATAGAGCCTTGGTAATTCAAACCCTTCCTATACTGTTTGTGCTTCCAACCAATTCTGTAATTTTTGAATTCTTGCAATTGCTAAAAAATTTGCATTTCTAGCCAAAAGGGAATCTTTCTATGGTAAAAGTGAATCTATTTCCTACCTCTACATATGACTAATTAACCTTGCAAAGTATCACTAATGATATGCTGTTGGTTGGTTTCTTACCATGTAGGAAAAAGAAATTTTAGCATCTGAAGTACAATGTGTTAGTAACTTTGTGTTCACATTATGGGTGTTGTCTATTATTGCAGACATATCTTCAGTCTCTTACTATTCGACTCGAGGAGATGAGAGTCAAAAGACGTGACTCAGAGCAGTGGATGCATCATCGTTTGCTTCCACAAGATCTCAGGGAACGAGTAAGGCGCTATGATCAGTACAAGTGGTTGGAAACACGTGGAGTGGATGAAGAGAACTTGGTTCAGAGTCTACCCAAGGATCTTAGAAGGGACATCAAACGACATCTCTGTCTGGCTTTGGTGAAAAGGGTAATTTCCTTTTTCTCTACTGAGTTTGATTCTGGTGTTTGTAGCCATTTGTGTCTATGATAGTTTTACCATGATCATGTATTTTTTATTTAAAAAATAAATAAAAAATTGTTAAGTTTACACGATATGAAGTGGTTGGGAAGTTTAGGCCTTTTACTATTTCTGAATGTAATGAAATACTTGCATGTTTTTTATTATGCCAGAAAATGAATTACAGAAATGCAGACAATCCATTCGAAAGAATTCCTTAATGTGTGTCTTTTTGGCGTTTTCTACCCAAATTCATGAAAGTTATATTAGAATTATAATCGCCAAACATGCAATTTCCATCTCATCCTGTACCTTTTTAGTTGTAGAATAATAGTTTCCTCTGCTTGCCATGCAATTCCCAAATATAATTTAAAATTTTGTGTTTATACCAAACTCCGTCTTTGTGGAATTGCAGGTTCCGCTGTTTGAGAATATGGACGAAAGGTTGCTTGATGCCATCTGTGAGCGACTGAAACCATGTTTATACACAGAAAATACGTACATAGTCCGAGAAGGAGATCCAGTTGATGAGATGCTTTTCATCATCCGTGGCCGCCTCGAGAGCGTGACCACCGATGGTGGAAGAAGTGGATTTTTCAATCGCAGTTTTCTAAAAGGAGGTGATTTCTGTGGAGAGGAGCTTCTGACATGGGCACTTGACCCTAAATCCGGTTCTAACCTACCATCTTCAACTCGAACGGTGAGGGCTTTGACAGAGGTGGAGGCATTTGCCTTAATAGCCGAAGAGTTAAAATTCGTGGCGAGTCAGTTCAGGCGACTCCACAGTAAACAAGTTCAACACACATTTCGTTTTTACTCACAGCAGTGGAGGACGTGGGCCGCTTGCTTTATCCAAGCTGCGTGGCGGCGATATTCGAAGCGGAAAACAATGGAACTTCGTCGAAAGGAGGAGGAAGAAGCAGAAGGGTTGGCAGGGGCAAGCGGCCGTGGTGGTGGTGGTTCGTACAGCCTCGGTGCCACCTTCTTGGCTTCTAAATTCGCAGCGAATGCTCTTCGTGGGGTCCACCGAAACCGGAATCTTAAGAGTGCGAGGGAGTTGGTGAAACTACAGAAGCCACCGGAGCCCGATTTCACTGCTGATGCAGAGTAAGTTTGTATTCTGAGGACTCTTTTAAATTTGATGACTGACTATTTTTTGTTGATTGCACTTGCTTTTGGGGTAAAGAAAAATGTATCATTTACTCGTATCGTGGTGGTTTCGATGGTTGCAAAAACAAGTTGTATAACTGTATATGCATGTCTTGTTGGTGCTTTATTTTTCGTCTTACATTTTGCATGAACATCGAGAGTCGTAGAAGTCTTTCAGTAGTTTCAATTTACACTTCGTTGTGGCAGAAAATATTTTTGTTAAAAAAGTGAAACATTTTTTGTTTAGTTGATTGCGACAAACGTGTTTTTGTTGATTTTCGTTTGTCACATACGAAACGTTAGAAAATGTCGGAAACAATTGAATGGAGATTTAGATTTAGTTTGGCATAATCTAAAAAAATTAAAAAATCACTATCTTATTTAAATCACATCATTTTATTTAAATAATACCATTTCTTTACTACATTATTTCAAACCAAATTCATATTTTATGTGTTTTTTGTAAAATGTTAAAAAGTGTACTTATTTAGATCATCTCAATTAACTCCATGTAACTACAAGATCTTTAAGCTGGTCTATGGTTAGAACCTTTCTACAAACAAAAAATTAGTAATTCAGTGGATTCAAAACTTATATAGTGGTATTTTTGTTTTTTGTTTTTTTTCAGTTATTCAGTCTTGCATATACTAACTATTCATACAAGATAATAGACAGTGGAAAACATTGGGGAAAACACCCTCTTAGTGCAAAATCGTGGACATAAAAAGTTAAATTCACTATAAATCACAAGTTACAAGACTTGAGACGAAATAACTTGTGACCCTTGCCTAATTAACCTAACTCTTACAGTCTTGCGGATCTCGTTGCTAGCTTTCTACTCTGTGATTACGATCCTCCTAAACCCTCTTGATTCAATATCACACCATGAAACTCCTCGCGGCTCTGCTACTCAACTGCCAACGGTAGGATGTGTCAAACAATGACAAGTGGGGTTTTGTGCAATAAATATGTTAAAAATGATATATTATTGATTGATTGATATATTTCTGTACATTACAATTTCTATATATAGAGGAGAAGATGGTAGTGGGTGTAGTGTAGTGGAGGTGGTAGGTGAAGTGGGGTGTGTAGTGGAGTAGTGGATGATATATTTTAACAAAATAAAAATAAAAACTCAATCTAGAACACTATTTGTATTGAAGAAACTTAAGTTTATGATTGACAACTCATGGATTTCTAAGCTTCTGGTGAAGAAGTTGAGTAGAAGCGGTGGAGCGTGCTTTAGACGTAGCTCTCAGGAGTTTTGCGGGCAAACCTCCGCTCGACCACTACTCAAGCATGCTTCAAGCAAAGCTCATAACATCTCTACAAAAACACCCCTTTGCTCGAGTGCTCTTCAGCACACATTGTTTCTTGTTTCTTGTTTTGAGACATGTTTTCAATATAGAAATAAACTCGATTCAAACTAAGTCAATTTTGTGTAATTCTAAAACCTCACTTCCTAGAACTAATGCAAGTGCTTGTGCAAACATACTAGTGTGAGTAATGGAGCGAATATGTGTTCGTCTTCAACTTGCCACTCTTAAGATATCTATCATTTCCTAGTTATCCTTACAACCAAAGACTAAATAATTACTTTAATGTTGTGTTTGAATATTAAATTTGTAGAGAACAAAGAAAAGATAGGAAAAGAAAATAATGTAAAAGGAGATAATTTTGTTCTCTTTTTTTGGTTAGGCTAGGAAATTGAAGGGAAAAAAATAGATATTAAAAAAAAACTATTTTCTCGTTTATTTACCCATACAAAATAAATAAGATATCAGTAATTTCATGCCTCTTACATTTTGCTTTCCTTTAAAAATTTCAACGAAGTGGTGGAAAAGAATGGTTGATTCCTTCATATATGTCTGATATGTAACGAGTTGATTGTTGTTTAGAACAAAATACTTTTAGAGGTTTTGTTTGGATCAAAAATTTAAAAAAGAATTTGTAAAGAAAACACGTAAAAAAATCCCTCAAATCACTTATGAAAATGAATCTTATTTTGAATCGATTAAATGTTAGGTCGTTCCCCTTAAGTGACGTGTTGCGCTTGCCTTCGAGTGTTTTGAAAAGTAAGGGGTGCCGCATCAACGCTTGGGTGCGGTGAAAAATGGGCAAAGGTTTCTACGTTTTTCTGAACGAGCGCAGATAAAGAAGCTAGTCCAAGACTATAGGTTTAGGATAGCCACATAGAATGTAAGAACTTTAACTGGTAAGTGTAATGGCCCCAAAATATACATCAATCAAAACATAGTTAAACACCAAAAGATCCTCTTTCTCATTGAACTAAGGTTTTTATTTACAGTTTCGTGTTTAACATATTAAATACACTTACATATGATAAAGTTCAACAAGTTAGAGGCTACAAAATAGAATACCTTAATGGCGTACAAAAATTCAAGGCCTTGCCTTATTACAACAAAAATGGATTCACAGTCCTAACAAATAAGCTCGGAACTTCCACATTTAATCATCCATGAGCCTCGGCGCTCCAATCGAAACAAAATAGCATATTTCATCTCACTGAGGTGGTGGCACATCACCAATTCCTGAAAATGTTAAATAGAGATGAGCTATATGCCTAATAGAGACATTTAACAGAGTATCTAATTATTTGAACATCTACATTGCATCACCATAACCAATCATAATTTAAAGTTTTCAAAAATAAAATGGGTAAGAAAATAAATACATTTCTGTTCTATTGAAAACCTCTATCAACACAGGAGGGTAAATATGTCATGAATCTCTTGTAGGAGCCCCATACTACATATACTTACAGGTTTATAACCAAAACTATTCCCCACATCTGCCGGCTATTAATACGGCAAGTAGTGGACACCCAAAATCATCCGTTTTTCCACTTTTGCTGACTATTATACGGCAGGACTAATGGATACCCATAAATATTTTCTCACATTCGTCCAGCGATAAACTCAAGACAAGGCAATTTGGCACCTTAACTCCCCGCGTGGATACCAACACAACACATTGTTCTCAAAAACCAACTCTCTACCCGGACTCATACTCTATTTGCCTCCTCTTTTTTACCACATTCCAAGTAATCAAGTGTTCAATAAAACACGAGATGAATAGTGAAAATAGAATACATGGGTTATCAATTTCCAAGTCCACAATCTCAACTCAACACATATCAATAATGTATTCTAAACTCTAATTATCTCCATAATTTCAAGATTTGAAAGTCAATTTCACCAAAATCAAAACTAGGGTTTTAATAAATTTGGGGCTTTTACCCCCTCTTTATATTTATGGTAGTTCTCAACACCAATACTCATAATCCATAAGAATTTATTTGAAATTTTAATAAATGTTGGGTAAAATCCCCTTTGTGTTAAACATAAAACTTAACTTTTGCTCAATCATCAAAACAAAGTATCATGGTCACAACAATACCACATAATCATCCTCAAACTAAAGAGATACTAAGTTAAAAGCAACTCTACCTCAAGGAAGAGCAAGAAAACTAGACTTTTAAGAAGAATCCTTCGTAGAATCAAAATCGAATCGGTAGAAAGTAAGATCCTTACGTAGACTTCACTTCCTGCAAGTGATTTAAGCTTGAAACTTAGTGAATTGAGAGATATATAGAGAGAGAAATCTAAAGTTTTCTAAATTAGTGTGAGAGGAAGAAAGAGAGAAAAAGAAAAGTGAAATAAATTATCCAAAAAGTGGTTTTTGAGCTACTGAATTCGCGCAGACTGCTCGAGCAGTCTTTTCCCCGCTCGAGCGGTGAACGAGACCTCTTAGTATCTCTGTCTGCAAAACGAAATACTGGGAACCCCTCATATTCGCTAGAGCGACCATTGTTTGCTTGAGCGGTCCTTCAACTTGCAAAACAAATACTGGGAACACCTCATCTCCGCTCAAGTAGTCTTTTCACCGCTCGAGTGGTCACCTAAAACAAATTGTCACAGTAAGACTATGGAATTGGTAGATGTCATGATTATGAGGAGAGTTAGTGTAGTTATGTAGAAGAAACTAAGTGGATAGGTGAGAAAGGTAAGGAAATAGAGGATACGTTTTAAACTATATTATAAATAATAGTTGCCAAAGAACTTGTAGAAAATGTAGTTGTGGTCATTAAGAAAGGTGATAAGATTATGTTAGTTAAAGTAGTTATTGGAGAAAATATAGTAAACATTCTTAGTGCATACGCCCTCCAAGTAGGATTAGATGATCAGACTAAGAGAGACTTTTGGGACCAAATGAATGAGGTACTATAGGAGATATCTGTGGGAGAGAACCTTATTGTAAGTGAAGATTTCAACGGTCATGTAGGAATAGATAAACTATGTTATGAGATGGTGCATGGTGGGTATAATTTTGGTAATAGAAATGAAGCTGGAGAGAGTATTTTAGATTTTGTATTAGCTTTTGACCTAGTGGTGGCCAATACTATATATAAGAAGAGATACGAGTATTTGATAACCTTTAAGAATGGGTCAATTAGGAGTCAAATAGATTACTTTTTAATAACAAAAGTGGACCGTCTAAAATGCAGTGATTGTAAAAGATTCCTAAAGAGAGCCTGACGTTTCAATATAGGATTTTGATACTACATTTATGCTTTAAAGGGTACTACCAAGCTAAAAAGGATAGTGGGCATCGTAGAACGAGATGATAGGACCTAAAATAGGATAAATTAGAAATATTTAAGAATAGAATGGATGAAGAAAGTACTTGGGACTTGAAAGATGATGTTAACATTAAATGGAACTCGATGACCAATTGTATGAGAAGAATCTCAAGGGAAGTCCTTGGAGAGTCGAAAAGAACGGGACCCAACTCTAAGGAAACTTGGTGGTGAAGGGATGAGGTTCAAACGGTAGTAAAGACGAAAAAGAGCGATTTAAAAAGTGTCAGAAGGATAAAACTGAAGAAAACCTTAAGAGTTGCAAATTGACTAATAAAGAGGTCAAAAAAGTAGTGAAAGAGGCTAAGTTGAAAGCCTATAATGACATATACAGTAGATTAGATAGTAAGAAAAGAGATAAGAGAATATACAAACTTGCTAAGATAAGAGAGAGGAAAATAAGAGATTTTAATCAAGTTAAGTACATCAAGAGTGAGGACTTTAAGGTGTTGCTGAAGGATGAAGAGATTAAGGAGATGTGGAATAACTATTTTGGGAAGTTATTAAATGAGGAACATAGAGGAAGGTCAAAAGGGGAGAAAGTAACCAGTAATAATGAAACTAAGACTACATATTCTATTCCAGGGTTAGGAACTTTGAAGTGGAGATTGCACTTAAGAATATGAAATTGAATAAGACTTTCAAACCCGATGATATCTCTATTGAAGCTTGAAAATATTTAGGTAAGAAGAAGGTTGTTTGATTGACTAGGTTATTTAGTAAGATTATGTTGACTAGGAAAATACTAGAGTGGAGGAAGAGTATTTTAGTGTCAATCTATAAGAATAAAGGAGATGCCCAGAATTGCAACAACTATAAACGAATCAAGCTAATGTGTCATATAATGAAAGTGTGAGAAAGAGTGATGGAATGTCGATTGCAAGATATAACAGGGGTGTCAAATAATCAATTTGGATTTATGCCCGGTAGGTTAACAATGGAAGCGATCTATCTTTTGAGAAGAGTAACAGAAAAGTATAAAGAGAAGAAAAGAGACAATCATATGGTTTTTTATCGATCTTGAGAAAGCATATAACAAAGTACCTTGGGATATAATCTGGTGGGTGTTAGAGAAGAAAAGGGTGACAAATTGCTACATTGATGTGATTAGGGACATATATGAAGGTGTGGTGACCACTATTAGATAGCTAGCTGGAGAAACAAGTGAATTTTCAATTACTGCGGGGTTATCCCGAAGATCAACCTTAAGTCCTTAACTTTTTGCTTTAGTTATGGATGAGTTGAAGAGAAATATTCAAGATGATATGCCATGGTGTATGCTTTTTGCAGATGATACCATGTCAGTGGATGAGACTAGAGGACTTAACACTAGTTGGAGACTTGGAGAGAAGCACTTGAATCTAAAGGATTTAGGATAAGCAGAATTAAGACAAAGTATATGGAGTGTAATTTTAGTAACAGTAACAATGAAAACAAAGGAAAAGTGAAAATTGAGAACCAAGAACTACTTAAGAACGAACATTATTTAGGATCGATTATCACAATAGTTTGGGGGATTGGAGCATATGTGGTCCACAGAATTAAAGCGGGGTGGCTTAAGTGGAGGAATACGTCTGGGATACTGTACAATAAGCGAGTACCCACTAGACTAAAAGGAAAGTTCTCTAGAACGACTATTAGACCGGCGATGTTGTATGGGATAGAATTTTAAGTAATTAAGAAACAACATGTAGATAAGATGAGTGTTACTGAGATGATGATGATAGGATAAATGTGTAGCAAGACTATAAAAGAAAGAGTTAGGAATGAGTATATTCGTGAATGGATAGGAGTAACACCGATAGAAGATAAGGTAAGAGAGAATAGATTGAGATGGTTTGGTCATATATAATAGAGTCCAACAGAGGCAGTAGTGAAGAGATGTGATACAGTGTTAGTAGATGAAAGTGTTAGGGGAAGGGGTAGACCTAAATTGACATGGGTTAGTCTAGTAAATAGATATATGAATCTTCTTAATTTAACTAACCAAATGACCTTTGATAGAGTTGAATGGAGAAAAAAGATTCATATAACTGACCCCCATTTAATAGGAGTTAAGGTGTGGTTTCGTTTGATTTGGTTTGGTCTTCTCTTTCATTTTCCTTTCTCTTGACAAATCTTCACTTAAATATTTGATCCTAGTATTTAAGGTTCTTTCTTTACAGATATAACTCCCAACATAACCCCCGTTCTATGTTGAGGTTTGGATAGTTTTGGCTCTCTTAAGAATAATTATTTAGGGTCTATTTGGTAACGTTTACGTTTTCAGTTTATATTTACAAAAATTTTATAAACTGGTTTTTGTTTATTTTTAAAAAAACATAAGCTACAAATGAGTTTGGTAATTGAAAAAATATTTAAAAAAATTTAAAAATATAAAAAAGAGTGACAAGTGACAAGTGGTGGCAAGTGGCAGCGGAAGACGGTGGTGGAAAGTGGTGACGGTGGGTGGTGGGTAGCTGGTGGTGGTGGCCAAATTTTTATAAATATAAACAGAAAACTGAAAACGTAAGTGTTACCAAACGGCACCTTAGTAGTTTTGGAGTGTCAACTTAATACGTTGATATTGTGCTTAAAAAAATAATAGTAGAAGTCACGAGAGAAATGACATTGACTGGCGTACCTTATTCGGTAGGGTGATTATTTGGTGGTTCAAGAGTACGGCCACATGGTATTGTATGGTAATATGATTGGTAGAGAATGCAGATTATTAACTATTTTTGTTGAGTGATTGAAGAATATGAAGGGACATAATGAGTGGTGCTTGATGAGGGAGTATGGCCACGTAATACTCCAGAACTATTGTATAATTTTCCCCTTGGTCAATTAAGTAGAAGACAAAGTCAGACCGATCCATCTCTTTTTGCACAATTTCATTGATCAAGAGCACCACCATACTGTGCATACTGATAGATACTTCAAAATTATTAAGAAATTTTTTTCAACAATTGAGTGTGTTGAATATATTTTTTTCATCATATGCTAAGAGCCGTACAGGTGTGGATGATTAGGTTGATTATGAAGTTATATTTGAAACAAAAGTTTGGGCAACCCAGAATTGTTTCCTATGATTTTAGATTGTTCAAACGAATCAAATCGGTTTAACATAGTTACAAACAGGATTAATTGGATTGTAAGTAAGAAGGATCGTTAACACAAGTAATTTTCACTTTAAAAAAAAAATACATCATCAATATTAATGATTTTATTTTTGTTTTACTTTTTTAATAAAAGGTTGGTTTTGGATAGAGTCGGGGTGGAAAAAAAAGATTTATACAACTGATCCCATTTGATAGAACTTAAGGTTTAATTTAATTTAGTTTGGTTTGATTTTTTAATAAAAAGTAGAATTCTCTTTCATCAATCCCACATTAAGGATCTCAAATGTTATAGGAATAGTAATTACAAATACATGTAGGTAAATTTTATTAGATAATTAACCCTGAGTGTCTTCAAATATTAGTTAATAAACTTTAAAATAGTTGTAAATATTTTACAAGAAGCACTCTTATAAATAAAATAAAAAAAATGTATATTTATTATAAATTTATTAATAAATACACTGAAAGCACTGATTAACAAAGTGCAACTTTTATTTATGGGTAATGCTAGAAATACTAAATTTTCTACTAAACAAATGATCAAAATGTCTCATAAGTGCAACTTTTATTTATGGGTAATGCTAGAAATACTAAATTTTCTACTAAACAAATGATCAAAATGTCTCATAAGTGCAACTTTTATTTATGGGTAATGCTAGAAATACTAAATTTTCTACTAAACAAATGATCAAAATGTCTCATAAGTGCAACTTTTATTTATGGGTAATGCTAGAAATACTAAATTTTCTACTAAACAAATGATCAAAATGTCTCATAAGTGCAACTTTTATTTATGGGTAATGCTAGAGATACTAAATTTTCTACCAAACAAATGATTAAAATGTCTCATATGGATGTGGAGTGGGCAATTTTATGGAACCCATACTCATATGAGACATTTGATCATTTATTTAGTAGAAAATTTAGAACTTATAACATTTTTATAAACAAAAAAGGGAGAGTCCAAATGAATGAATCACCAAAGGCTTAAGTTTGTCTCCAATCCACTATAGGTTGTTGCTGGGCCTCGTGAGATTTACTAGGGACTTGTATATTGTTCATTTTATTAAGTTTTATGTGTAAATCTTCGACACCAAAATCATATTAATCCGATAATTATAACTATATAATTTTATTATACTTGTCTTAAAAAAATAAATAGTCTATTTTTAAAATTATAATTATCATTTATTTTTTTGAAAATAAATATAACAAAATTATATAACTATTAATTATCAAATCAATTTGATTTTTTCTGTAAATGATCTACACAAAATTCAACAAAATAAACATCAAAATGATAAGCTATCTAATGATATAACAAAAATGTACCCAAAAAAATGATATAATAATAAAATAGCAATATAAAATAAAACAGCAACGGAATACTTTTTTTTTTTTTTGTTACAGGGTAATCCTCCCACCCTCCCGCAGGTCCAAGGCAGCGCCCCATGAGGAGATCACCAGGGTGTCCTGTTGTCCGTTCCGAGTAAGAGATTATAACCTGAAAGCTTGTCCCGACCTCCCAAGGCAAGTTTCGATTAAGTCAGGACTCGCACAGCGGGAAAGCATTAAACCCACACCAAGTAGCTGATTAGGCATCCTTGAGGTCTAACCTCCTTACCAACAGTGCTTCGCCTAGGAGATTGGCCCAAAGAGGAAATTAAACTTGTAACCTTAGAGCTTAAACCCTAAGACCTTACCACAATGCCACAATCCCTTGGGTTACAACGGAATACTTGAACCACACAAGAAATAAATATTATGAATTTAACGGAGCCAAGGATAAAATGGTCAATTCCTCAATCAATAGATTTATTAATAAATGAGAAATTCCTGCGAACTCTCACATCACACCACGAATATTCCACTATAAATTTCTAAATAAATATCAAATATTAGATTTAAATTATGAATAAAAATAAATTATTTAAATATTCATTTTATTTAATTATTTATATCTGAACAATTACTTTTATGTTCATAAATTTATATCTGAATATATGATTTGTGCTCAAAAATTCATATGCAAACACCATTAGTAGTGTGTATTGAAAGTTTATAGAGTGCCGAAATAGAATTACCCTTAATAAATATGATGAACAAACTAACTTAAAAGCAATACCAAAAAAAAAATAAAAATGTAATACAAACACTAACACTTTGATAATACAAGAATTCCTTTGATCATTTCTAAAGTATGCAGTCATAGAGGACAGGGAAATTGCTTCACCATCCTCTCAAAATGTCTCAATACATGACAACTGGCAAAGAAAAAAGAAAAACAGTAAATAAACCAAAAATATAAACTACGAGAAAATAAAATTTAAAAAAAAAAAGAAAAAAGAAAAAATAATTTCTATGATATAAGATTTAAAACTGAAATCCACAGGTAACTCTGGGGTGTCGAATATCCTTGCATTCATCCTTGCATTCCCGCGATCAACACAAGGTGATAGATGATTCGTCAAGATGATGCAAATCAACCAATGATATTCAGGTTGTATCGCTCAATCAATCTTCACTGACGAGTAGATGAGCCTCGTAAACCAGAAACATGCATAGAAACCGATTGTACCAGTGAGCACAAAGAACGCGTAGGACACAATCAGCATGTAACCAAAGTACAAGACCCCAGAAACTGGCTTTGTAATCTCGAGCTTTGTGAAGAAATAGAAGGCAGCGTAAAGGAAGAGGTAGAGCGCTGAGGATCCAGAAGTAAGGTATGACCTCCACCACCAAAGGTAGTCCTCACTGCACAGTTGGAAATAGCATAGCACAATTGTGATCTCGGCACAAGTGATGAGTAGGATGATGAAGACAATGAAGAGGAAACCAAAAATGTAATAGAATTGCTGTAACCAAATCGAGGTAAGGATGAAAAAGAGCTCGATAAACACAGCTCCAAATGGGAGTATACCACCAATAAGGACAGAGAAGACCGGGTTCATGTACCAGGCCTGTTCGGGTATCTGCCTCGGAATTTTGTTGGTTTTCACAGGATCTTCCAGTGCTGGCTTCCTAAAACCGACATAACCACCCACAAAAACAAGAGGAACAGAGATTCCGAACCATAAAACAACCAGTACAAACATGGTTCCAAATGGTACAGCCCCTGACGATTTCTGACCCCAAATTAGAGCATTTAAGACAAAGAAGATGGCAAAGTTTGTTGCAGGGAACATCAAAGCTGTTCTGAGAGAGATCTTCTTCCATTCGGTTCCTTTAAACACCTTGTAGAGCCGAGCAGAAGAGTATCCAGCGAAAACACCCATGAAGACCCACAGCAGAAGCATGGCTGTCATCAAACCACCTCTATTTGAAGGAGAAAGAAATCCAAGGACAGCAAAGATCATGGTGACAAGTATCATTCCAAAAAACTGAACACCTGTTCCAACGTAAACACAGAGGAGATCTGATTTTGTAGGTGGTCTGAAAACATCTCCGTGAACCAGTTTCCATCCCGTCTCTTCTTGGGCTTCTTCCTGGGTTTCCAATTGATTGTACTTGGATATATCGCGATACAGTGTCCGTAGCATGATCATGGCCACCATGCCCGAGAGAAAAAGAACAATCATCAATGAATTGACAATTGAAAACCAGTGAATTTGGTCATCAGCCATCAGAAGATAGGTATCCCATCTATATGCCCACTTCACATCGCTCTCCTGCATTGTGGAACAGGCAAGACAGGCACAACAGAATATTATTGGAACTAACATAAAATTAAAATATTATCTGTGAATTTATTTTTTCATTATGAGTGCAAGATATAGGAGCTTACTTGATACTCAACATCATATGTGAAGATAATTTCCTTCTTATCATCAACCTCTTGAGGAGTATCTGAGTTGGTAACTGTACGTTTTGCATGGGGATCACAGGTTGTTAAACGAGTCTTGTCACTCCATTGACCTTCATATTCATGTTTGATACTAATTGCACCAAAATAAACCAATATTATAACCTGGATACAAGTAACCCCTACAGAAGATATCAGCACCTAATGAAATGAACACAGGAGGAATTCATGAAGTACCTGAATGGTTTAACTTCAAATCCTACAATCCTTGAGGATTCTGTAAGTGGGTCCTTGTGAAACTTCACCGTGAATGATAAGTGGTTATGGATGAAATACTTTTCCTCCTTGGTCTGAAAACAATAATGTTAAGAAGAAATTATTAGAATTCCTGGCTTAGACATTTAACCAAAGTCTAAAATATTTGCAGCAAATTAAAGAAAAAATGGTGATTTGTTTGGTACTTACTCCAGCATATAGTCCTTTTAGACCTACATGAAAGCCATGTTGATACACAATGACAGATTCCTGATCCAGCCTTCGTATTGGAACAACCAGAGGAAGGTTATCCAAAATCCTGCGAAATGCAACACAGATGAGAAATAAATTTTGCAAAAACTGAAAGCATTATGCCATTAAATTCATATTTGGGATTCGCTTAAGAAGGTGCCTCACATGTTCACCCGATATTCATCATCTATCTTTTCCTTAAATTCCTTTGCAGTTTTCGCATTAAGTGTTACGCGACAGACAACATTGCACATTTGAGGTTCTCGCATGTTGAACTGCAAAAAACAACTTTGGTAAGACATTTCAACAATATGCACTAAAAGAAAGGCATGTAAGGACAACCAAAATCATTAGCTGACCACATAAGGAGAGTTTTCAATACGGTCACCACGAAGAACTTCACCGAGATTTTCTGCACTATCAACTATTTTCTCTGGCTTGCAGTAAGGAAGAGAATAGAATGAGTACGGAAGCTGCGTCTTTATAGAAGTCAGTTTGTTCACTTTAACCGTCAAAGGATCCCCCTGTAACAAATATACATAAAACTTACTCAACCCTTGAACAGAAGTTATTGGCCTGATAAAGTCAAGAAGAAAAGAAGATGCACATACATATATATATATATATATATATTATTTATTTCATACCTTTTCCCAGTCCTATTAATTGTTTGCAGATATTTAACATTTCCTTTTGCTCTTACTGTTAGTAGAGAGGCCGATGTCTCTAATGCAGCTATAGAAATATATAGAGAAATTTGAACTTTTAACCTTCAACATGATAGAGATAATGTCGGTTTTCATCTACTAAAACAACCCATGCATAAACTAGCTCTTGTGAGATTTTAATTTGTGAGATCATGTGACAAAGTGGGAGAGAGCCCACTTGTTTTTATAGAGAAAATTCCTGGGCTTTTTGGATGTGAAGTGGTCTTTCAAAGGCTTCTCTATTTCACATTCATATTAAAATAAAACTAAGAAAAGTGAGTTGAATGGGGAAAAATTATAAATAACCATTAGACCACCATATATCAGACAGCAGAAAGAATTAAGACTATAGCTTATGCAGCCAGCCACCGGGATAGCTTCAATATTTATGAAACTTATAACTAAATTTCAGAATTTTAAGTCATGAACCTTCCACATTGGTTAATAGTACATCAAAATTTGTAGAATCAATCACTTGTGTCCTTCCCGCCAGCCATAATTTGGCATGTTAACAGCATACCAAACCTCACATAGTGAAAGCTCAACACAAAACATTTAAGTAAGGGTAAATTACACCAATGGTCCCTATATTTCGGTGCTTTTGTCACTTTGGTCCTTGTAATTTCAATTGGCTCATTTTTATCCATGAATTTATAACTTTGTCTTAATTTGGTTCAATTGATTACAATTATTAGCAATTTCTTTTATGGAAAATGCGCACATAGTAGATGTGTCATGCTTTTAGGACAAAATTGGAAACTCGGTCAGCCCAGTAAGTTAATTTCAACCAACCCAATGATTATTTTTCGTCAAAAACCTTAACGATGTTATCAATTGGACCAAAATTACACAAAATCTAAAATTAATGGTCAAAATTGAGTCAAATAAAAGTGTATGAATCAAAATAACACAAGAAGCAAAATATAGGGACTGCCAGTGTAATTTACCATTTAAGTAATTACATCTGCAGGCATTATACCCCGCATGAATCAACATTTGGAGCCAACATTCAAACACTTAATCTAATATTTCCCCTACAATTAAAAAGATGCCGGCCTTGTCTGATTTGTTTTTGAGGAAAAAAATTTAGAAATTTTTTTGAAAAATGGAAATTAATTTGATAAACATAAATTTCAAAAACATATTTTTAAATTTTTTAAAATTAGTTCTGACCTCTCAAAAAATAAAATTACGTAAAAATGATGAGAGTTTTTGATTTTTTTTATTCCTTTCACCAACTTAGTTTTTAGTTTTTCAGGAAAATTTTTCTAAAACAAGTTTCCGAAAACCAAATCAAACATGGCCATCATCTTTTTCCAGTAAGTAAGACACAGACACAGACACAGACACACACACACACACACACACCTTCCTTCAAATTAAAAGATGAAATTTGAGAATCAACCAACCATCAAAACACCCATACCAGTCTTTATTTGCGGTTTTGGATATATGCAACATGTGAGTTTTATGTAAACAATCATATCATAAACACAAAGAAGATTTTGTATACGAATAGGGTACCTTCCCACCAATCACAAATCACAAATGCATATGCCTCCTATTCTATTCCCCAAACACCCCAACATAAACGTACCACAAGGCATAAACCCTATCTGCATACAAAAATTACTCGACGAAGACCCACAATTAGCGAGATTCACAGAAATCATCAATTTCAGAGCCACAAAAACGCCATTAAGAAAAATAAATACGGTCAAAATCGATTTCCTAGAACCGAAAAGGGGACAAGTGAGCCAGATCTAAGACCAAAACGCTATTAAGAAACATAATCACCAAGTAACTGTTAGGTCAAACCAAATAATCCATAACATACATACTTACACAATTGCATATACATATATATAGATATACATAGAGATATGGGTAGAAAGACTTGCCTTGTGAAAATCTTCGGGAGCAACACCGGGGAGGTAGAAGGAGTGAGCATGGATGAAGAAGAGAAGAAGAGACACCGAAAACCATACATGACTTGCGAGAGGAGTTCGTCGAACCGTCATGGTCGCATTTACCAGAGCCACACAAGAAGAAGATGATGATGATCTAGATCCAGATATGCTCTCTCTCTCCTCCTCTCTCTGTCTCTCTGTGGACTCGTTTCTGGTTTTGGGATCTAATAACAAGAGAAGAATTGACAATGAGCTCGCACCAAATCGAGAGAGAAAGAGAGAGAGACAGAGAATGTGTGTGACTGTGAGAATTGATCTTACCCGTTGATTAGTTAATGGGAGTGATGTGCGGTTTAGATCAGATCGAGAATCTTGTGACAATTGTTAATGAAAAAGAACATTGCTAAAAAGTGGGAAATCAAGAAAAAGGGCAAATCTATTATTTTGTACTAGTAATTTGCATAGGGACCTTTTTGTTTCTCTTGAATATGTAATTAATTTAATCCATGTGATCTCACTAGTAATGTTTTATATTTTTTTTATGATAAATTATACTAGAAAATGTTTGAGATTCTCATAATTTTTTTTGAGGACAAATGTTTTGGATCACCAAATTAATTTTTGGTGATGTGTCATAAATTATATTGCTTGAGAACTCTATTAAAATATAATCCAATTAGTGTTTATCATGTCATTAGGAATTAGTATTAATTAAGGGTCCAAAATTGGTGAAATGTAACATTAGTGTTTTATGAATATGTGGATTTCTAACATTTTTATTTTACTAACACCCCTCACATATATGAAATTACAGTACTACTTTCTGAAAGATTAAAAATTTGTGTCAAGAATGAGAATGTGCGATAAAGATTGAAAGTGTATACTGTGGGTTCATATTAGAATGAATCTAAACCACGTATTAATATTTATTAATAATTTTTAACTAGGTTCATATATAGAATGAATCTAAACCACGTATTGATATTTATTGATAATTTATAACTAAAATTTATATAGTATACTGTTTCTGGAAATACTCTATCTTTCTTCATCTTTTTTCTCCTCCTTCTGAATTTAGATTTCTAGTTGGGAAGTTAGATCTAGTGTTTGGAATAGCAACGGCTACGACAACTACCAATCCACTCTTCTTCTTTTTCTTCTTCAAATAGTTCTATCTCTCTGTACGTAGTAAAGGTTATAGGGGATATGGGGATTGCAGGGGTGGTTTAGTCGTAGGAGTAGGGGTTGCAATAGAAGTGGGGTAGTGGAGGTGGTTGGTTGCAAGGGTGGGAGTTGTGATAGTGATGGGGTAGCAAAAGTGAGGGGGTTGTAGACGACTACAATGGTGGCTGAATAGGAGATGGTGGTAGAGAAAGAAACTGGAGAGGGACGACTAGGCTAAGAGGGCAATCGTAAATAGGGATGGCAATTTGAAACCGGCCCGACGGGGATCTCCGATCCCGACCCCGATTTAAGCGGTTTTTTCCCGAAAAATACCCCCGACGGGGAGGTGACGGTATTTGAAAATCAATCCCCGATCTGTCACGGGCCGGGGACGGCGATCAGTGTTTGATCCCCGGCCCGGCCCGATCCCCGGCCCCATCCCCGAATTTTCCCGAAGTGAAATTACTTTTATACCCCTTATATTTATATATTTATATATATATATATATATAATAATAAACCAACTCTCTCCCTCACTCTCATCTCAACTCAACTCTCTGAGAGTCTCTCTCGTTCATCTCTCTCTCCCTCACTCTCATCTCAACTCTCTCCCACTCTGTCGTTCATCTCGCTGTCAACTCTCTCTCTCGCGGTCACCGACGGCGACGTCAGCACCACCGCTGGCCCCGACTCCCCCTCTCTCTCACCGACGGCGACATCACCACCACCGCCGCACAACGTCTGTCTCTCTGCCACCACCACCGAACCCACAGCCACCGCCAGCCACTCTCGATCTCAATCTCAATCACCACCATCGAACCCACCGACGGCGTCGCTCAGATCTGTGTGTGTGAGATCTGTCTGTGTGTGTGTGTGTGTGTGTGTGAAGATCAGTTTTTTTTTTTTTAGATCAATTTTTCATCAACTTTAGCATCACCAAGCATTAATAGACACTGATCCCACTCCTTCAATTCCTCCTGGTCATATATATTTTGTTCATTCGGGAAAAAAATGAGGATAACATCTAAACAAATAAAATACACAAAAAACTTCTTGTTGTTGTTGTTGTTGATGATGAGTTGTATTTTCTGAAACTTTTTTTAGATGATGAACTTCTTGTTGATGATGAAATTTTCTGAAATTTTTTTTTAGCCGGGGAATGCTCGGGGTCGGGGAAACCTGATCCCCGTTGGGGGCGGGGGTGGGGGCAGTGATAGGATCCCCGTCGGGGATCGGGGCCGGGGCCGAGGAAAATTCGACCATCGGGGATCGGGGACGGGGAGTGTGATCCCCGGCCTCGCCCCGCCCCGTTGTCATTCCTAATCGTAAAGGCAATGAAGCGAGGAGGCTACAAAAGATGATTGCAAAGTGGTGACAGAAAAGCGTGTAAAGGCGACGACAAGAGAGGGATAGGGAATTTAATTATAAAAAATTAAAAACTCATAAGACAAAAAAATTAAAAAATAATAATAATAATTTTTGAGCAAATTACATCAGTAGTCCTTGAAATGTGCACCTTTTGTCAATTTGGTCATTGACTTTCTAATTATAACACATCTGACCTTTAAATCAATTTGGTCATTGACTTTCTAATTATAACACATTTGACCTTAAATTTTTAAATTTGTGTCAATTAAGAACAATCAATGAGGATTGTTACATTTTTTGGCAGAAATTGATCATGTGCATGACATATGACCATGTCTCAAGGGCAAAATGGATTTTTCACTGTTCTTTCTCTCTCCTCCCTCTTTTTCCACATTTGTCTCCAACATAAAATCACTATGGACCTAATTTACTCAACATCCCACCACCATAAAAATAGCATCATCCACCACCACACTACCATTCCGCAACACCCATACTACCCACTGCCATTTCACAGCACCTTTCCACCATTCTACCACCATTTCACAACACTCTACTGTCACCCACAACCACTAAACAACACTTCTCACCACCCGTTTACCTCACCCAACATGAAACAACACAATTGCTATGTTGTAGACCTCTGCAAAACATGAAACAAACAGAAGAAATTTATAAACCTCTTACAAACATTTTATCAAACAACTAGGGGGCAAAGTTCGTAAATCTTGAATGACCATCCTGCTCCTAAATTTCTTCAATCTATGTGTAAAACAAAAAATAAATATAAAAATACAATAAGAATGGAAGATAAGAAGCAAAATAGTAATAGAGAAGAGAGCTGCTAAATGTCCTTACATTTCTACCTTGGACCCCCCACTTCTTTGACCCCTCAACCACCTGTAGACATCTCATTTTGACTAACCATAAGATTTGGGCGCTTTCTTCCGAACACCCAATGACAAAAATTAGAATGTGCTATTTTACGAATTTCGCAACAAAAAAGTCAGGTTTAAGCTTTAATTCCAACTTTACACCCGTTTTAGCCAAATTAGTTTAGAGCTATTCAAAAATATTTTTCTAAATTTTTTCTTTTTTCAAAAAATTTAACAGTTTTGAAAAAAATTAGCTCTCACACCACATGGCAAGCCACATGATTTTGAGATCCCATATGGCACGCCATGTGTTTTTGGAAATATCACATGGCTAGCCATGTGTTTTAGTGATCCAAAAATCCTATAAATACCACCTCATTTTGTTGTTTAAAAGAAGAAAAAAAAAAAGAGAGAAAAAAAAAGAGAGAAAATTTTGAGAAAGAAAATTTTGTTTCAAAAAAGAAAGGAGAAAAAATAGAGAAAATTTTATTTCAAAAAGAGATAAAATTTTGAAAAATTAAAATTTCACAAGTCTTGAGAAGAGAAAATTTTGAAAAAAGAATTTTTGTTTCAACAAATCTTAAATCTTTCATCTACTGATATATACCATCCAAAAATTCCATCAAAGCTTAAACTTGCAACTTCTTGTCGAGATCTCACAGCATACTTCATAATCGTGAGGGTGTAAAGAAGAAAGTTTGATAAATCAAGAAATTTATCATTCCCTCCAAAGGTGAGTTTTTACAATTTTCTTATTTATTTTCTTGTATTTTCTTTATTGTTTTAAATATGCAGTTTCTTTATTTTTAATATAAATAATATAATAATATATTAATTATATTATGTTGTATATTATTATTATTATTATTATTATTATTATACCATAATAATAATATATATTTTTCGTGCAGTGATGGATGAAACCACCACGCACACTGCTCTCAAATATGCGTATGTATTTATTATATTTTTATTCTTATTCTTCTTATTATTATTATTATTATTATTATTATTATTATTATTATTATTACTACTACTACTACTACTATTATTATTATGTTTATTATATTTGTCTATGTTATATTGTTATATTATTATTACTATATTTGATTTGTTAATAATTTTCAAACCCCATGCCTTTTATTCGGTATTGTAATTAAAGTGTTGTAATAATTCCCTACCCCGCTTCTTTCTATCACATTCTTTTACTTACTTTTCTTATTTGTAAATATGCATCATATTTTGTTTTTCATCATATTCATATTTTGCATCCATATTTCATGCATTTAGTTTCGGCTCAGTTGCATCTGTGGTTTATATCAATTATTATGTGATTATGTGCGCTACTTCATGCTTTTAAGATGATTCACATGTCATATTTTAGTAGCCGAATCTCTAGTTACATTTTATATATGTATTGCATTAGGATTTTGTATATAAAATCATGCATATGTCCTAACTTTGTTTTATAACTATTCGTGGTACGTTAGTAAATATGTGAGTTTTTATATTTCAACATCTAACTTTGTATGTGCTTTTCTTATTATGTCAAACATTCCACTATGTGGCTACTTACTTATGTGATATATCTTTATGAATGCTAGTGGATAAAGGTTGTGTCATTTAATTTGAAATTGTGGGGATATATTTTTGAGTACCGACACGTGGCAAGGTGACGTCGACGTGTCAGCCGAGGTGCCACGTGTCAGGGTCATGACGCCGAGGTTATCTTCGAAGATATCGGAGTCCGAGATAAGCGGATAAGGGACAAGAGTCCTAGAATAAAGAGGAGACTTAGCCAAGATAAGGATAAAGCTCTTAGGGAGTTTATCTTTATCTCTGAAGGAGTCCAAAGTAAG